TAATTTCATCAAAGTAATTTGTCAATTTGTAAAACTAAAGTCGTAATTCACCAAAAAAATGCTGGTGATATCCCCTCACCATCTTTGTTTATCTTGTTTAGGCTATATATATATATATATATATTAATTTAAATCCTAAAATTAACTCAATCAGGAAAAGTACATGATGTCATAGGACAATTTTTCTTAATTTTGTTAATAAGTTGGATTGAATTGATTTAATTATGAAAATTAGAGGGCTCAAAATAGAACAATTAAAAGGTGTAAGTTAAATAAAGTTTCGAGGAGCCAATTTATGTTCTCCTTAAGTAGTCTACCTTTAAATGGTATTTTCTTTTTCTCTATCTTTTTCCATAGCAATGAAAGAAGGTAAAATCATCTCTGCATTTTTTGGGGGTTCCTTTTGTTCATTAAGGCTATGAATTAAATGAAAGCCAAAGTTTCCTAAACTTGATTGAATTCATGTACCCAAAAAAAGAAAAAAAAAAAGAGAAAACTAGAATCGAGATAAATATAGCAATTCAAGTTTAATTTAGTATTCGCTCTTTGTAAGCAAGAATTTAACAGGAGGAAATCAACAAAATTGCAAAACAATAAAAATATAAGTGAGCCGTGTACTGGTGCAACTAAAAACTGTGACCTTATTCTATACAGTATAGACCCCACTTGTAATTTTATATTTTTATAATTATTTCGATTTTTTTTTTCATTAATTTAGAATTTCCAAAATTTAATAATTAATCAACCTTAGGTTGAAATGTGTCATAGATTTCAGACAATGGATATGGAGGAGATGCATGTGAAAAACTCAGTGCACTGTTTTTTTAAGACTGTCTTAACCACAGTGAAACATGTGGTGACGCAATGCTCATTATACATGTATATTTCATTTTATTCGTCCAAACATGTATGCCTTAGTTGATGAGACATTTATACATTCATGAGAAAACACAGCAAAAACCTGTCTCTGTTTCTTTTATGTTCCCACAGCCTTTCTCACCACCTTGGTGTTTGGATTCCTGCAATTTTTTTCCCTATTTAACGCAAAATGAGTTTTAGTGCTCGTTTGGCAATGATTTTTTTAGTTAGTTTTTTTATTTTTTTGACTTTTTTAGCTTGAGACTTTTTTAATCGTTTGGTATTCTTATTTGACTTTTTTAGCTTTGGAATGATGTATTTTTTTTGTCTTTTTGTAATTTTTTAGTGCAAAATGTTTACCAAACAACCCCTTAATCTTTTCTCTTTGGAGTTTATCTTATTTTGTAGTTTATAATTTCTTTTTATAAAAAGCATGAGTTGTTTCACATCACAGCATGGAGGCTATTGACAAGTTGCAGATATGCCTTCCATAATTCACTTGAATCCAACCCACCAAAATTTTGGAAAAAGACAAGTAATTATCCATCAACCTAGCCCAAAAAATGTTATCACAATGATTTCTATTTATTAATTTTTTGGGGAGGTGTTTGCATCTTATTTAAAAGATGTGCAGAAAAATAAAAAAATGATATGATTCAAAAAAAAATAAAAAAAATAAATAAATGCATTTTTTTAGTGCACCTCAAATAACCTCTACTAGACATAAAAGTGATGCATGTAGATTTTTATTTTTATTTTTATTTTTATTTTTAAAGGCACTGGAAGTCATAGTTTGGGTGATGAGTTGATCGTTAACTTCATAGTTTTGAAATTAGTCAAGATTCGCGCAAACTAGTTTGGACAGTTAGTTATATATAATAAAAAAAATGATAATAATATTTGTGGTAATTTTTTTTCTCTCCTTTTTTGGCAATCCAAAAAAAAAAAAAATTCAAACATATTATATAAAAGAGCATGAACTAAGACATTTGGTTTAATAGATGTTTAACTTTTTTTGTTGTGTGAAATCTCGAATTCAATCCTTATAAAGAAAAGTCATACTTTTTATTGTAGTGTTTATTTAGTTTGGACAGTTAGTTATATATAATAAAAAAAATGATAATAATATTTGTGGTAATTTTTTTTCTCTCCTTTTTTGGCAATCCAAAAAAAAAAAAAATTCAAACATATTATATAAAAGAGCATGAACTAAGACATTCGGTTTAATAGTTGTTTAACTTTTTTTTGTTGTGTGAAATCTCAGATTCAATTCTTATAAAGAAAAGTTTGATACTTTTTATTGTAGTGTTTATTTTCCCCCATTGTGGGGTTGTGTAGCATGATAAATAAGATATAAAAATTTGTTTGTGGTAAAATTTGAATCTTTAAACTCGAAGATGTTGTCATTAATTGAAGAATAGTTATTGGTCTATGCATTAAATGTTGGCCTAGTGGACCATATGACAAATTAGTTGCCAATTGTAACATTGTTGCTAAGTAATGTGTGAGGTGATTAATATTTCATGCATGAAACATGTGACCAATTAATGAACATTGTTCCAAACTTTTAGGGATCCAATGGATTAGTTGTACTATATGTGGGCATTTCATTTCCCCAACAGATTATAGCCTTAGTTTCTATTTTATTCTATTTATATGTTTTTATCCTTTCTTTCTTTTTTTTTGAAAATTAAGGAAACAAAGTACTAAATTTTAACTGTTAGTGTACTTTTCCAAGTGAATATGCTTGATCTAATAGATGTAATTGCTTTCTTTATTTTTATTTTTTGGTAAATTATACATGTAGTTCTTGTAGTTTGCCTTTCGTGTCAGTTTAATTTTAAAAAGAGGTTTTTTTTTTTTTTGGTGAATACTTTAAAAAGAGTTAATTACACTTGCCACCTCTGTAATTTGACCAAAATTTTACTTTAGTCCCTATAATTTCAATTTGAACAATTTAGTCTCTACACTTCAAATTTAGTTTTAATTTAGTCATTTCGTCTAAATTGGAGATTAAAATTAAAAATTTTAGAACACTTGCCAATTTTCTAAGGCTTTAGTTTCATTGTTCCATCTAAATTAGATTTTAAAATCAACAATTTTAAATTACTTGTCAATTTTCTAAGTTGTACACATACACAAAATTAACAAAAATTTAGACAAAATGATCAAATTAAAATTAAACTTAAAGTGTAAGAATCAAATTGTTTAATTTTCTAAGGTTTTAATCTCATTCTTTCAGCTAAATTAGATATTAAATTAACAATTTTAGGACGCTTTTCAATTTTCTAAGGTGTACACAGACAAAATTAAAAAAAAATTAAACAAAATGATTAAATTGAAATTAAACTTAAAGTGTAAGAATCAAATTATTTAAATTAAAACTATAGGGAATAAAGTAAAATTTGAGTCAAACTACATAGATGAAAAGAGTAATTAACCCTTTTAAGAATTCCAATTATTCAATGTGAATCTAGTCTAATTTATAATGTCATTTATGAATTGGACTGAAATCTATGGATAAAATAGTTTATTCATACTTTTCAAATGATTAAGGGGTTAACGTCTAATTTAAAATGATTCATGGACCATTTCACCTTTGATTTCAGTCTAATTTCTTAACGAATATTTTAAAATTGACATAATGTGAAAAATTAAAGAGCCAAGTCAATATAATTAAAAATATAAAGACCAAATTGATACACGAGTCAAATTACAACGACACAACTATAATTTTGGTTTTTGTTTGGTAAGTAACAAATAGATAGAGTTTAGGCAGAAAATTGTCAATTCAGAACAACTACACCTCAATTAGTAACACATACATGGGCTTGGTTTGGGAAGTGAGTTGATTTTTTGATTTTTTAATTATTTCAACATGGGTTAAAAAGTCTTGTTTGGGATGAATTTTTTGACTTTTTTTATTTTTATAAGAAAAAATTGAAATGATTATAATTTAGATGTAACATTTTATCTTATTAGTTTTTTATTTTATTTTATTTTTTTGTGATTATTTAACCTAATAACTCCAAAAAAAACCCATGCCAAACCTGGGCTATGCTATCCAAGAGGGTTACTATTAAACACAATAGATCAAAAAAACCTCCCTCAACACAATAAGAAGCAAAACTTGATTTTAGTTGGCATTGTAGGACTTTACTTTTCTTGCCCTTGTTAGCAAATTAAGGTAAACAAAACCTTGCAAAGAAACAAATTGTAAACAATTATTTTACAAAGAAAGGTTTCTTCTTAATTTCAATATTTAAGGAAATTTTACATAGCCTAAGAAGATGTTTCAAATTGTTCAGATTGGCCTGGTTGGTATCATTATTATTTTGACTTTTGTTTTTCACGTTTTAGAAAGCAAAGATAATGAAAATTTTAAAACACTTGTGTTTTTTATTTTACCAATTTAAATCTTAATCTTTTTCTTTATTTTTAATCTAAATCATCAGCTTATTTCTGTTAAGTAAAGCCAACGAAAAAATATTAACTCAATATAATGAAATATCTAAACTATCATTTCTTATTGAGTTAAATGACTAAAATAATATTTTTTAAGCAATTTTACTTAATGAAAATAGATAATAAATTGAAAATAAATCAAAAATTTAAGGTTTAGTTTATTTCAAATAAAAATTTATTTTGCTATAAAGATGAAATCTCAGGTTTTGTTTTTTTTATTTTTTTTTTCCATAAATTTTTTGCATTGACTTTTTTATTATTTTGAATAACAAATGTATTTGGTGAACAACAAATCCCAAAGCTGACTTGATCTCCAACTTTTTTCTCTCCCTTTTTATTTTATTTTATTTTTAATAAAGTAATATAAAATCTGTACTTAATTATATGACATATATGGAATGTTATGTTGCATTTAAAAAATAAAAATATTATGAGTTATGAAAATTTATTGCGAATATTATTTTGAAGAGTGTATAGCAAAAATTTAAAATTAATGAGAAGTGAGCCATAATAAATATATACCATTGACTCTTTTTTTTTTATTTAAATAATTTTTCTAAACATGTACTACTAGTGTTTAAAAAATGACTTAAGAAATGTAGATATGTAAATATACAAAATGTGTATTGAAATTTTAATTTTTTAAACATTATTTTTTATGTAACTGAACTGTTCCCTTTAAATAAAAAGAAAGGATTTAATTAATAAACTCTCCTTATAAATACAATCTACTCTTAAAAGAGTATATCAATCAACCCAATTCCATCAGACCACATTACATAATCAAAAAAATATTAAAAATATGGATATAGCTCCAAAAGGGACACCAAGGAAGAAAATGGTTAAAAGACAAAAAGGGCAAACAAAAAAGAAAAAAAGAAAAAGAAAAAAGGAATACTCTCAGTTAAGCAGTGGGATTAATGGAGAAAAAAAAAGTTTTTTTTATTTGGTTTTGCTTTTAGATTGGGATTTGAAGAGTGGAGGAGGGGTTCTTCTTGGCTAGATTGTGTTTGTTGTTGTGCATCCAAACCTTGAGGACTCTTCTCTTGATTCCAATTTCTTGGCACAACTGTTGCACCACAGCTTCCTCTTGCTTCTGAATTTTCCACCCAACTTTCTCAGCAAAGTTGAGCATTTTCTCTTTCTGTTCCTGGGTAAACTTTGTTCTGAATCTCTTCTTCACCATCTGATGATGAGGTGGCCTCAGCACCACCCCTCCACCACCACCGACACCATCTTCTTGCTCATCAGATTCTGAAGGTAGTAGTGACCCCATATTGTAGGACATTAACATCTGGTGGTGGGCTGCTGGTGGTGGTGCTGGTCCAGAGGGGATAAAAGTGGCTGTAGGGTACCCTAGAGCTTCTGGGCCTAAAAAGTTCTTGTGATGATGGCTCAGAATGACTCTTCTGCCCCCAACCCTGTTGAGATGTGGTGGGGTGTGGTAGCCCTCACAGGAAGAGGGATGTTGCTCACCTTCAACTTCTTTTCTGTGGAAGTTTCTGTGGCAGTTGCAGGCTGAGCAAGTGAGGGCTTCTAGGGTACCCTCTTCTCCATTGGGCATGAACTCACCACACCCATCTGTGGCACTTCCACCCATTGATGCTGCATGGTTCTTTAGGCATTCCTTGTACCTCACCATTTTCTTGTAGGGTACATGATGGTCCTCCACTAGGGTTATTGTGGGAATTGGAGGGCCATTGGAGGACATCTGGTTGTTTTGGGTTGCTAATGAAGTTGGAATTATGTGGTTGCGGGGTGCTGGATCATGATGGATCATGTGCCCCACACCATATGAACTGTTGATTGGAATTGGGATTGGGATTGGGATCTCCCCATCTTCACTTGAAAGTTCCATTTCTAGGACTCTCTTTCTCTCCCCTTTTTTGTGTTGTTTGTTTGGAGACCAAAAGAGGATGGAACAAGACAGGAGAGAATTAGCTAGAGAATTAAATGATTAAATTAAAAGTGTTTGATACTGTTTTTTAATTGCTAGGAGTTTTTTTTTTTTTAAGAATTGTTCACTTTTTTGGAAGCAAAAACACACTACATAACTAAGCACTGTAGCACACCTATGGACTCTTCTTGTCTAGACATCATTATCTTGAACATAGTAACTTTTGTTTTGTTTTCTTTTTCTTTTCAAACCAAAGAAAATGTAATCATGAAATTCAGAAACAAGATTTGTTCTGATGAAAAATTGAACTATAATTTTTTTTTTTTTTTTGAGAGAGAGTTCTTAGAGCTACCAGAATCTAAAACAAAGTCAATTACAGTGCCCAAGTGTTAAAAATCATCATCTCATTTTCTTTTAAGGACTGGGAAAAGAAGAAAACAAATAAGCAAATTCAGTAGAAAATTAGCAATGTTACAGGAACAAACCAGTATGCGCAAATGGTCCTCTGTCTGTGCTTACACCTTTTCTATTTCTATCAACCCCTTGATGGTGGAGGAGAGAGAAAAAGAGGGAGAGAGGAGGTAAGGCAGTCAACCCTCAGAACAGTGTTCTGGAAAAGACAATGATATGTGAAGATATGGCTAGGGCTATAGGGGCACTAGACTGTAGACATACAAGGCATGATCATGAGAGAAGGCACTAACACGCCTTGGGTAATGGGTATGTGTCTCTGAAAATCTTGAGCTTAAGCACCTTCTATAGCCAAAAGACAAATCTACTGTAAGAGAAGACTATGTTTGGCAAAGAAAATAGAGATGTTTTGGATTAAAAAATTTGAGCAAGTGGGTGATGATGGAGGAGAAGGGAAGAGAAGAGAAGAGAAGAGGGGGGAGAGATAGAATGGAGAGAGTTTTGCAGGTGGGTTTTGCTAGTGAAGCACTAAACATGAGCTTATAGCAGTAGTGAGGGCTTAAAAACAAAAGAAAAAGTGGGAGCTGAAAAAGAATTGGGAAACCCAAAAAAAAAAATAAAAAAAATTATAAGATTTGTGCATTATAACAAAATAAACTCTTGAATATTTAATTTTGTTAGCTTAAATTTAAATTTTTTGATTTATTTTTAATTTAAATTATTTTTTTCTATTTTTTTTTAAATAAAATTGATAAAAAATAAATATTTTAATCATTATACTCAATATAAGTGTAAGAAAACTATTTTAGATATTACTTTTTTATTGAAATTAATGATTAAAATATTAATTTTCTCACTTTACTTAATGAAAATAGACAAATTATTTAAATTAAAAATAAATTAAAAGATTGAGATTTAAATTAATAAAATTAATTTTTTTTATTACAAGATTCAAAATCTGAAAAAGAAAAATAATAATAATTTTTTCAAAAAAAAAGAAAGAAGAAGAAACTTTTATGTTTTTATAAATTTATATATATTTTTTTAACAGAGAAAGAAGAATACATTTTTAGTTTTAGGGGGGGAGACGAAAAAAAAAAAGTGGGGGTGCTTGCTTGCTTTGCTTGCACTAACAGGCATCATGTTTACGCCACATATAGAGAGAGAGACAGAGAGAGAGAGAGCAGTGTGTGTCAGAGAGTGTTGAGGACGAAAACGAAGGAGGAGAGACACAGGATTGTGGAGTTATGCTAGAAACACAGGATTTTAAACATTGAAATAATTATAGGTGTGAAATAAATATGTGAATTTTATTTATTTTTATATCTGTGTTTATTTTTGTATTAAATGCATCATCGATCTGGGTAATTATTGATACTCAACCGTCCGCTCGTCATCACGCATCCGTCCAAAATGCGGCGGATCGGTTCGGTTCGGTCGGTTTTGGCGGATCGGTATATCCGCTGCTCACCCCTAATATTTAACTATGAGTTGGTTTAAATTAGTGTCACTAGTGAGAAATTTTATAGTAAAAATTGGCAATTTATCTTAGTGAGAAATTTTATAGTAAACTTGGCAATTTATCTTTGTTATGTAGTTGCGAGATAAAAAGATTATTCACTTAGTTTCCATTTAAAAAAAAAATTATTTTAATTGACCATTTGACCAATCTAATCTATTTATGCTACATATATGTAAAGCTCACATTTATATAGTAGAGAACTGCATTACATGTATGAGACATATATGAGAGAAGTATATTATGACCATAATAGGAAAAGTTAGGAATCATGGAAATTTTGTCATGAAAATGATTATGAAAAATTTATGATCTTTGAATTACCTTGATTAGTGTGTGATGTTTTATTCTAAATGTAATCCAAATGTCACAAAACGTTCATGATTATTTTCATGAAAGGTTTTTCATGATAGTTAGCATTGCTGGACCACAATAGTATATTGGTTACACAAAATATAAAATTTGTAAATATTGTGTTTGTTGAAGAATTTAAGAGCGAATTCATTGAGTCACTTTTTCCTTCATTTTTTTTTTCTTTTTTCTTTTCTTCAAATTTTTACTTAGGTCAATAATATTCAAACACAGCCTAAGGAATTTTTGAAAAGAAATGACATTGAATAAAGTTGTGGGAATTATAAGTTAATAAAACAATGAAAATAATTATAAAAACATGAAAGTGGAAGTGAAACGTGTGATCTTATTTATACTAAAACATACTCAGCTTCATATTTTTATTGTTAAATAATTTTGCTTCTTTCCGTTAATTTACAATTCCCTCAATATAATTATGCAAAATCTCCCTCTATGACTTTGTCTTTGAACCTCAAACATGTTTGTGATTTGTTCTTTTGCTAGCAGTAATATTGTAGAACACATCAACTATGACTTGTGTTTCGGTGGTTAAAAATTGATTTAAGATTGATTTTCGGTGTAAATAAATTAAGTTTAAATGGATTTTAGAACTTTTTAATCTTATAAATTTAGTTCAAACTTTACTTGTTAAGCATGTATGCATTATGAAAATTAAATTATTTGAGTTTAACTTCTGATTAATTCAATTAAAGCTTGTTTCATATCGTTATGAAAAATAAACGAGCCAAATTAAAATATATTGTTAAAATTTTAAAATAAATTTCAACAATCTACTAATTTTTTTGACCTTGCTCATTAACAAGTTACAGTCTCATTTCAACAATTTACTACTTGTTTTGATTAGACTGATTTACATCATAATTCTGTGAATTTCTCTATCAATAATTAATCAACAAAAAATTAGGAAAGGAAAAAGGAAAAAAAATGATTCATTTGAATAGTGATATACAAACAAATTTTAATACAAATTTTTTATATAAAAACAATGCGACAGTTTGTGGTCATTTCATTTTCAATCGAAATACTCATCGTTATGATTTATAATTTCAAAAATGACATTGCTATATTATTTTGAATAATTTTTTGTACAAATAGTTTGTTTGTAAATCATTTTTCATTAAGTTGAGAAAGAGGTTACAGTAATATAATTAGAGAATAACTTCTTTCCAGTTGGGTTTCTCAACTAGACTGTGATGTTGGGCTTCTTTGAATCCACCATGGAACTCGTATCATTGATTTGAATTGTTCAATAGGTAGGGCACGTCAAGCATGTTATTCTTGTAAAAAAAATTACGTTGATCAGATATCAATAACTATTTAATAAAATTACATTTATATTAATAATTTATTTTTAAAATTATAGTTCTCATTGACATAAATTTAATCAAATCAAATAACTATCGATATCCAATTAACTTAATTTTTTATAAAGATAAAATACTTAATAAAATTTATATATTGAACGGTTTGAATCATTTACGTAAACTCCTTGACAGGTTCACGAAATCCAACAATACTATCTCATTTGATTTGGAACTGAAGAAAAGTCTAGGCCATGTAACTAATAAAACGACCACCAAAAGGAGATGCCAAAAGCCAGCAGGAACACAGGTTAGGTTGGTTTAAAAGAACTACCACATTCAATTTGAGGGTCAATTTTGACTTCAGAGGTTGTCATGCAATATCGTGTGTTTAAATAAATATATCCTAAATAAGAATTTAAAAAGAAATGGGGTGGATTAGATTGAAATTCTTCCTTTAAATTTGTTTTTTAATCTAGTATTAGATTTAATTTAGGGAGTTGTTATATATCATTTATTTACTTATTTATTTTGAATTTTTTTCTCATCTCTTATGTGAAAAAACGCAACAAAAATTAAGAAAAGAAAAAGGAGACATACACATAAATGCATGTTAGTTAGTGGCGTAGACATATGGTCAAAAGGATGATAATTAACTCCACCTTTAGCTGAAAATAGGTAGGTGGGTGGGTTAGTGCGGTTCTTCCTTCACGCCCTGGGCTTACTAATGTCGTCGGAAAATTTAGGGTGTGTTTGGTTTGATTTTGGAAGATAAATAAAGAGTTTAAAAAAAAGAAATTGGTTTATTTTATTGTATATTTTAGAAATAGTTTTGGACTATGAGAATGAGGAATGATTTAATATTTTATTATAGTTGAGTAGATGTGTGTGAGAGAAAAAATGATTGAAAATGAGAGAGGAGAGAGAAAAAGTGATTGATTGATGTGTAAGAGAGATAAAGTAATTTTGAAAAAAAATTTCAAAAAATTTCTAACCAAACAAAATTTTGAAAAAAAATTTCAAAAATTATGTTTTGAGAGTTAAACGAAACAAGGCTTTAGAATTTGAAAAAAGAAAAAAAAAATTACTAATTTTTAAATTTTTTATAAAAAAATAAAAAAATCATTTGACAATTTTTTTTTTGACTTTTTTTAATTAAAAACTTTCATTTCCAAACAAACCCTTGTTTATATCATCTTGCTTATATCATATGCATATATATATATATATATATATATATATATTATTTATCTTATTTAATTAATGTGTTGTATTGTCAAGGAGAGGAATGCTCAATATGACCATGATGTCCCGTTGGAATGCTGGGATATTGCCATTTCATTCCAGCCATTACATGACAAGTCAGACATTACTTGATAAAGAGATCATTTTTAAATTTCTTCCTGCTGGCCTCGAAAATAGAGTCTAACAAATCCGCCCCGTGCCAACCTCTAGTGAAATTTTTTGACATGTTGAGGTGGGTTAGATTATGGGTAATTATGGATCCGTCTAATATAATTAAATTGATTTAATTAAATTGATTTTAAGTAATTGTGTGTTTTTTAGAGAACGGATATAGGTGAAATATTTCAAAATATAAGAATACAGTTTGAATGGCGGATCAATCATCCCGCACAGGTATAAACCCGATTAGCCTATAGATGAAGTTCAAAGAAAAAAGAAACTACTAACAAATAATAATATAAACTATAAATAATAAAATATATAGTTTTATGAAAATGAATAACAATACCTTAAAAATATACATGTGTCATGTTATGACTTATTATAGACAAATAATACATATTTTTTCAAATTACTAATTATTGAAAATTGTAAAAATTATGAATTATAATCCAAAAAAATGTTTAAAATTTATAAAATCTAAACCGCCAAACCAATCGTATTCATCCGTCAATCCGTACGGTCCGCTCAATTTGCATCTACCAAACTAGTAGATGAATGTAAATTGATTTTTTTCAATTTACCTATTTTTAGATGGATAACGAATGAGATGTCACCCGATTCAACCCGATTCATGATCACCACTAAGCCAGACCTATAGATTGAAACCTCATAGCCAAGTGATGTCCAACTAGTTTGGTTCAAACGGACTGCAGAACGGGCTTGCGAGCTCACATAGCGGTGGGCTTGTGGGCTCTGTCTAATGAGTCAAGATTTAGGTTTATATTTTGAGATTTTTTAAATAATTTTTTATTTTCTCTTTTATTTTTCACATATTTTGCTTGGTTCACTGTCAATTTGGTAGGCGGCTCAAATGCCACATTTTATTTTTTCCAATTTATTATTTATTATTTATTTTTTTGGGTGAGGTAGGGGAGGAGACTAC